AGCTTGCATTTACGTTCTGTCTGTTTTTCTCTTATAATTTTTTCAACCCACCACTTAATAACTATATGAATAGGCTATGATAATCGCGGAATGATAACATGAAACACATGCCAGTACTCGAGTTCATTCTCTGATATATGTTACGTATTAAAATTTCGAAAGATCTGAAACTGATTTAACTTGTACTTTATATTTAGTGTTTAAATAAATGCCGATATGTATCCAATTTATGATATTTGCCAACAAGATTGATACATATAGTTTCTTTTGTTTTATACAAATAAATGTTAATATACAAACAATAATACAATTTACAATAACGGTTATTACAAACAATGATTTATATACAAAAGTTGTACAAGCAATATAAAGTCTTCTTTCTAATCTAGAACTTCCTTGATATCTTATCGAGGGTTCAGGATAAGCGAGTTAATTTCGAGTTAACATAGGTGCAATTCACTTAATAGGGAGCTAGCTAGCTCTGCAGTTCTCGCTGATTACGGGTCGAATTTCTTTTACCGCTGAAGTTATGTAATATCTTCGTAAAAGTACTAACGTCCGATGTGAATCCACTGAATTTGAATGATTTGTAATGTTCGAAATTTATAAGCGTTCCTGATCAATATATCTGAAGTGTCCCGATTAATAAGGTTAATCACAGTTATAGCTTGCGAAGTTTATAGCACACCAATAACAGCAACCCAATAATATATAGTGTTTTTTGGCACGTCGCGTTGGTTATATTTATAGGCGTGTGGAAAATTTCTCGAAATTTCAGTTTTACGTGACTATACTGACGCTAACATTAGCGGTTACGCGCACACATATATTGTTGATTCTTACACTCCAGAATCTTCTACATCTTTAGAGAATAGGCGGGAGTTTCGCACTACATATTTATCAGTATAAGTTATGTACATTTCTAAATTTAATTTAAACAAACATATAAATATATAATAACAAATCCGTCACATATATCAATTTCATAACAGTGACACATGAACAGTACTGACTTATTGATAGATCTTTCGCCAATTTTGGCTGAATCTTTTTTTCTTGGGGGGGTATCTCATTATAATGAATCTGATTATTTTTGGAGAGATACCATCCCTTATCAGTAACCAAGAAAATGTGAACTTTTTTTTCTAATTCACCACATACATATATTCAAAGGAGATACAACTCATCCATTTTTGTTATTATCAAAGATCTGTCAATTAATGGTTTGTTTGTTTGTAATTAAGCACAAAGCTACACAATGGGCTATCTGTGCTCTGCCCACCACGGGTATCGAAACCCGGATTCTAGCGTTGAAAGTCCGCAGACATACCGCTGTGCCACTGGGGGGCGGCAATTAATGGACTGCCATCCTGCTTTAGTTTAAACTTGGTAAGTTTTACCAAAAATAGTATTTTGATTCATTTATAATGTATTCTGAGAAGCGAAAACCTAAACAATTAATTCCTACAGAAAATATTTCATTTTATTACTGTTGAAAATTATAAAATATAAAACACATTCTCAATATTTGGAATAATACCTTTATGCTTATTAATGGGCGACATGTTCTAAAATAAAAGGATGCCTTTACTTGATTAACATTTTATTATTCCACAACAACTTACAAGACATTCACTTAAAGCATGACACCTTAAAACTACATATCTCGCAAAGGGTATGGCATAGGGAGATACAATTGCACGAGTGTGTTAAAATTACCATGTAGATGCAAATGCTACAATTGCCGACAGGAACACCACTGTATTTCACATATTTCCAATGGGTATATATAGGCCTATCGATTTCAGTGCAGCTCATTCAGTCAACATTAAAGAGACAATATTATAGAAAGGTGAACTAGGGAAATGTTATTAAACCAAAGGATGCAATACAAAAATACTATACAGTGCATAACATCTGCAGAAGGCCTTACTTCAGCGTTGTACTTGTGATAAGTCACGGACATGCAGACCACCGACTCCTACTGAAATTATGGACAGATTTAAACCAACGTGTTGATTTTTCATGGGTAGGCTGGACAGCTATGACCAATGGACTCATGAAGCACACTTCACCTTTTCTGGAAGTGTCAACTCGCGCAACTGCATTATCTGGTCAGAAGCTAATCCACAAGTAACATTTCTTTTACATGATTCTAAGGCAATGATGTTATGAGGCTTTGCAGCGCACTTTTTGAAGAACCATCATTACATGGACTGCAAACCAGCACGTTACCCTGCAATTTTCACAACCGATGTGATTCTCATAGTGCAGCAATAAAAAATGATAGACGCTCTGGTTTTCACGCAGGATGGGGCCCGGCCTTGCCAGGTGGTTAGGGTGCTCGACTCGCAACATGCCCGCCCTTTCAGCTGTGGGAGCGTTATAATGCGAAGGTCAATTCCACTATTCGTTGGTAAAAGAGTAGCCCAAGAGTTGGCAGTGAGTGGTGATGACTAGCTGCCTTCTCTCTAGTCTTACACTGCTAAATTAGGGACGGCTAGCGCAGACAGCCCTCGTGTAGCTTTGCGCGAAATTCAAAACAAACAAACGCAGGATGCGGACTTCTCCGCATGTTGGTAACCAGGTGAAACACGTCTTGCGGGAGCACTTTCAGGACAAAATAATTTCATGTCACTTTCCTCGTGAATGGCACTTCGTTTACGGAATTAACATTAGCCGATTTCTGGTTGTGGGGGTACATGAAGTCACGCACAATTCCAGACCTCCAGGATGTAATTGTTCGGAAAGTGGCCAGCATACTAGTTGAGATGCGCCGTGTTGCTGTAATGTCCGTTATCATACGGATACACTGTATTTTGTACGCAGGAAAAATACATTTTGAATAGTTGTTGTTGTTGAGTAGACATAGGTCATAGTGACAATCCTAATGACAACTGTGGCATTTGCATCCTCATGATATCCTTTAACATCCCTGTGCAAATTCAATTTCCTATGTCATACCATTTATGAAATATGAAACGTGAATCTGCGAAAGTTTCTTTATAATCACCATGTTTATTAGTTGTTTCACGAGTAATGTGCTCAAATAATGGTTCCAATGAAAGTAAAAAAATGTTTTAAAATCAAGAACTTAAAATTTTTGAATTAAATAGTGTGTAGAAACAAAGTTTAAACACCATCTATATAATAAGATTCAGTGTGTGTGTGTGTGTGTCACGTAACTTCTAAACCACTGGTCGCACCAATTTCTGTATGATACCAAACGAATCGTCTCGATCACGAGGTCTGCACAAAGGTAAAACTTTTCATCTAATCCATTAGGGAACCTGGGAATTTTGCGAAAACTCTTTTACGGGGATTCCAGAAAGCGGATCCCAAAGTAGCCATTGCTTTACATTAGAGCACACGTACATAAGTAGGCCTACTATTTACCGTTCGTAACTTGGTTAGATAAATTAAATTTGCATTATAGCGTCAATGTTCATTAAACTGAAAAAGTACAAAATAGTAGTTCAAGCATTAAATTTGTATTTTAGCGGCCCTGCAAATGTGGGCCATAATCCCACGCGTTCGCTAGTTTTGGTATAGGTGAATCCATCTATACATGTTTTTGGACAACCCTGTATAATAGCAGCTGTATAAGTCTTTTGTTTACTAATGTTACGCTTCTAACAAATAAGCATTCTTTATTTAATCTGCTTCCAAGGAAAAGCCTGCGTGTATGAATCATCACAACTTAAGCTTTGAAAATGCGTTTGACAATAAAAACCTTCTATTGTCCATACCAGCTGACTAAAGCTGTTTTGTGAAAGATAGTGGGAACGCAACTGGAAGAGAACAATTTTGTTTTTAAGTACCTTTTGTTTATTCCTCTAGAAATAATTCTTTGACTGTTCCACTACTTTCAATTTTCACCATAGAAATTTAGGTTTAAAACAAATATTTTCCATAGTTGATATACTGTGGCAACAGAAGTAATTCAAGAAAAACTTTCCCCTCTGACTGCGAACGTTGTTTATGGAAGTAGAATATATATAGTTCCATCTAACTTGTTTTAAAAATCAACTCGACAATTTTTCATTGGACAAATACGGTTTTTCTTACAACGACATGCATAAAGAAGTGGTCTATGATGCATATTCTTTAAATACGCATACTCGGTCTCTCTGTTTAGTTCTCATGAAGTTCACTAAAACTAGAAGCAAGTGAAGCTCATCTTTATAAGATTTCCTCGTTCAAGTGCAAACATTAATTTCTCCAAAATACTGTTATATAAGAAAGATGTGACAAGAAATGATTAACTTAATAGATCAATTTACTTGGCATGGCATTATATAGTTAAAAATATAATGAACAAGTCCATTTAATCAAAAGAAATGAACATCTACAT